AATATCGTTCCTGAACAAACTTGCGCTCTATAAATTTTAAAGCTAAAATTGTTGAAATTTTGTCCATTTTGTCCTCTTCCTGAAAAAGGACATAAAATCTGACTAGTTTGTGACGTCATAAAAACAAAAAATTGTGAATACACTGCTTTGACACTATAATATTTTTTGTTAATTTATATTTCTCATACAATTTATTGAATTCAGCACATTTCAGGAAGTTTTCAAAATTACTTTTGTGGGGGCAAATATATGCAATATACCGCATATAGTTCTTTTACTTTTATTCTTAATACTTAGGAAAAGTGGCAGTCTTGTGTATAAAAAATATTAAAACTTTGATCCAGAAAAATAATTATATTAGCAAATTGAACACACCCATAAAACGAACACAGTTTTTGTAAACAGGACACGAGCTCTGTTATTGTTGATATTTATGATTTACCGGGAGCGTTCAATTGTTGAAGTCTGCTGACCACAACTGCACGGACTGACAATATACTGTGTGTATGTGTTGCTTTCGAACATTTTTACTCTGAATTTTCTGGATTATAGTTTCAATATTTTTCATTAATACACAACAAGATTGCCACTTTTCCTAAGTATTAAGAATAAAATTAAAATTTGTGAAAGTGCAAGGATGTGTCAATCAAACTCGTCCAGAAATTTGAATTTTCAATAACTAAGATTTTTAAAATATTTTTGTGTGAAATGCTATTAAAATATATGTCATAATATTATACAGAAAATATTAACTTCAAATCTGTGTCCATGCACCTTTAATAATTTTGACCAATACATGTATCAAGTTTAATACTATATTAAAATTTCATATAATCTTATAATGTGTAGATAAGTGGTATTTCGTGATGGGAGTGATAGCCTCTACATTTTCTAGTACGTACTTTTATCGAAAACTTATTTTTGTAAGTGTGGAAAGACAGCGACATATACGTATTTAAGGAATGGCACTGACACAGTAAAAGTAAAATAGCTTTAAAAAAAAAAAAAAAATGCCTGGAAAATAAAACTTAACTATGTTTATATAAGATATAAGGAGAAATAATTTATAAATATTTTCGTTTTTTTCGGGGGGGGGGGGGGGTTATTTCATTTCAGTACATTTTGAAGAGTTTGTAAGGGGAAAAAATATAAATCTTTTAATTTTGACTTGTTTTCAACTCATTCGAAGATTAGAAACTGAAGAAAATTGTAGACATACTAGTACGTTTATTTTTTTTTTATCTCGAATAACAGTTGACCCTTACGTCGCGGGTTCGAATCCCACTGTGGGACGTAGAGACCGGTCCTTCGGACGAGGCTGTATGAAACGAGGTCCCGTGTCGCAGTAGGTGCTGTAAGGTGCTAAATTAAAAAAATTACGATGCTGTCTCTCCTCCTCGATATATTTTTCCCTCTAATTTTATCGAACACTTTCCTATTATATCCATATGTCATCCTTTTGTTATATAGAAATTATGTACCTCTGACCAGTTTGTATATTGTATATATGTTATTTGAACCCCATCTACCGATCTTGGTTTGGGTGAATAAAATGAACTTGAACTTGAACACGAAAAAGATCCCTTACTGCTCGATGGCCCTGAGTGCCGAACATTAAACAAAATTTGTAGCTGTCCATCGGCAAGTGGTGACGTCTCCATATGAGTGAAAAAATCTCGAGAGGGACGTTAAACAACATACAATCAATCAATTATCTCAAAGAACAGGAATAAAAGAAATACTAATCCCTCATTCTAAAATATTACTATTCCAGATATTGATTCTCTTCTGAAAACTTTGTTACAAAGGCAGAGGCAGAAAGATTGCGTGTATTTAGACCTAGCTAAGATCAGGTATAGTATTCTTCAAGAAGTATTTAGACTCTATGTTTGTATAGTTTTCACTCAGTTTTATTTAGGCATCCATGCAAGTTTTGTCCAAGTAGTATTTTTAATTTTTGGTGGAACGAACCTCCAAAAAAACAAACAATTTCAATCACCAGAACAATCTAGATAGATCAGGCTCTGTGGCCATAAAACTAAAATGAGCTCACTTTCAATCGTAGTCTCACTTGTACACCCTTTCATAGAAATGAAACTGAGATCTAAGAGTGAGGTACCTAAGTTTTATTGCCATGGAATCAGATTTTGGTTGTATCCAAAGCAAGTCTTGTAATGTGCATCCATGCAAGTTTAAGGACTCAAGGGCTTATTGTTTTCAATAAAGAACTAGCTTAAACAAGAGGCCCAAGGGCCACATCGCTCACCTGAGCACATCAGCTAGGAAAAAGCACATTAATCAGATCAGAACTGAAAAGTTATGGGGGGGGGGGGGTCGGGAGGGGGATTGAATTCTAATACTAATTGAGAATGCCTCCATATCAATACTGCATACAACTTCTTGAGAAAAAGATTTTTATAGTTTTTTTTTTAACATTTTGTTTGTATATATCACTTTGTAATAAATTGAATTTGACTCCCCATTGCTTCCCTCCCTACCCCAAAGTGTACTCATGATTTAAACAAATTTAAATATTCAATGCATGAGGATGCTTACATGTCAATATGACTAAACATAGCTTTTCGTTATTGGGATTTTTCCCTTTATTTTCCTATGTAAAACTTTGATTTACCAATGAGACCCTTCTTTACCCTTGGAGGTTATGATTTGAACAAATTTAATTATACACTATCTGAGGATGCATCCATATTAAGATATCACTAACCATTTGCTATTCTAAAGAAAAAGATTTTTTTAAAATATGTTTTAATGTAAAACTTGGACCCCCCCCTCATTGTGGCCCCACCCTATCCCTGGGGGTTATGATTTGAACAAACTAGAATCTACAGTACCTGAGGATGCTTCCATATAAATATCACTAATCATGGCTTTGCAGTACTTGAGAAGGAAATTTATAAAGATTTCCCTATATATTCCTAAATAAAACTTTAATAAGCCATTGTGGCCCCACCCTACCCCCGGGAGTCATGATTTGAAGAAACTTGAATTTACACTACCTGAGGATGATTCAACACGCATTTCATCTTTCCTGTCCCTATTGATCTTGAGAAGAAGATTTTTAAAGATTTTTCCTATATATTTCTATGTAAAAAATTGATAGGCCATTGTGGCCCCACCCTACCCCCGGGGGTCATGATTTGAACAAACTTGAATGTACACTACCTGAGGATGATTCAACATGAGTTTCATCTTTCCTGTTCCTATTGTTCTTGAGAAGAAGATTTTTAAAGATTTTTCCTAAATTAAAGTCTATATATTCCTAATATGTAAAAGTTTGATCAGCCATTGTGGCCCCACCCTACCCCCAGGGGTCATGATTTGAATAAACTTGAATCTACACTACCTGAGGATGATTCCACATGAGTTTCAACTTTCCTGGCCCAGTGGTTCTTGAGAAGAAGATTTTTTTAAAATGCCATTAATTTTTCACTAATTCATTATTTTTTCCCCTTGGAAGAGGGCATGGCCCTTTATTTGAACAAATTTGAATCCCCTTTACCCAAGGATACTTTGTAGCAAGTTTGGTTGAAATTGATCCAGTGATTCTTGAGAAGAAGATGAAAATGTGAAAAGTTTACAATGCTGACGATGACAACGACAATGACGACAGACAACTAACAAATCTTGATCAGAAAAGCTCACTTGAACCTTCAGCTCAGGTGAGCTAAAAAGTAATCCGCTCATCCATCAATTGAATGTAGTTCAGATCAAGCATCTAAAAGAAGTTTGGTTTTTGCCATCCCTAAATGCATTATCCATACAAGTTTGAGTACTACAGAGCTTGTAAGTGTAATGGTCTTTAATATACTTAATTACATCTGAAATACATGTATGTAGCTTCTGAAGCATGTCTGGTAGTGTGCATCCTTAGATGTACCATATACTCAAAATGGTCACCATAAGGCTTATCTATAAAGACAAATCCTGCTCCAAAAATGTTAGCCTCGAGGTCACTCATCTTGTAAATAGGTCAAGCTTGGGAGCCATTAGACTAAGACGAGCTTACTTCTGGCCTGGGGGCCATAAAACTTAGATGAGCTCACTTTTGATCTCAGTCCCACTTTTGCCGAAGGAATTGATAGCGGAAAAGTGAGACTGAGATCAAAAGTGAGCTGGTCCAAGTTTTATGGCCCCCAGGTCAGATCACGCATATGAAACATGCTTGGTAGTGCTGTAAATCACTTTTTATTCGCGAGAACTTTATTTTCGCATAATTACGCGAGACGGTGCACTCGCGAAAATTTAATTCTCGCGTAGAATAGAATTCCTTAAGATTATATAGAGCAATAACCACAATCCGCGAAAATTTTGTCTCGCTAATGAAGAGTCAATGACTATCTCGCGAAAATAAGGTGTCGCGAAAATTTAGTGATTTACAGTATGCATCCTCAGATGTATAATCCATACAAGTTTGGTGACAAAAAAAATAAGCAATACTTTGAAATGGACATACTCATTAAACTTTGACCTGGCCCCACCATCACCAAAATTTTATTAATCTCAACTCAATTCACTGAGGTAGCCTCAACTGAGATTTTCCTCAATTTGCTGTCACCAAACGGTTTGAGGTCACTCATCCAGCATCTCAAGCAGGTCTGGCATTGTGTATCCCTAGATGCACCATCTCTATTAACTGAATTCAAGTAGGATTTTATATTTACTTGGGAATGGACTTTGTCCTAAAACTGAAATTTATTTGGTACACCAACATCAACACTGTCACCTAATTCATGGTGATGACAGGGGCATTACCGGGCATAGCACAAGTTTATTTAGATTTCATCAAGTTGATCAAAAAAAATTTTTTTCAGATAAATAGATACTGTAATTAGAAAAATGTAGGTTCTTAGTTCATGGTACATGTAATCAGATATTAACTAATAACTTTCTTTTACCAGGGTAAATAAAATGAAAAACTTTAACAAAGAAATTCAACAATAACAAAACAGTTTATTCACTGACAATAGCTGCACAGTTGTTCTACAATAATTCATGACTCCAGAAAATAAATGTAATGATTTTACTGTTTCTGTAGAAGAGTCACCAATGCCATTCACTGGACATGTGATGATGAAACAGAATGTAATTACAATAGATTTCTTATTTCTATTGAGGCATCACCAATGCCATTCACTTGCTGTTTGAAGGTGTCCTAACCAGAGCAGAGTTCTATAGATTTCTTTTCTATCCTCTGGGCTCCAGTAATTGTAAGGACGTGTGTACTGGATGGAGGCACCTTTAGCTCCCATTGGAGTTCCCTTCTGAATGAGGTTTATATGGTCCTCTGTTAACTCCAGGTAGGTAAAAATAAGCTGAAAGACAGAGATAGAGAGTATTAACAAGAACCTCAAGACATCAAACAACAAGCTAATGTCCCGCAATTTAAGAAAATACAAGAGAACACGGTTCTAGGAGGGGGGATTTAAATTTTCATTGTAAAAGTTTCTTGAGATATCGTCTGGAAATGAAAGTTTTACACACACACACACAGAGAATTATGAATTTGTGACCTTGACCTTTATCAACTCAAAATAAATAGGGGTCTTCCTCAGGCCATTGGGAGTTGTGGTATACAATTTCATTGCAAAAACTCAAAGGCTTCTTAAGATAACGCACAGAGACAAAAGCATTAAAACAGACAATTTTTTTGAATTTATGACCTCAAACTTTGACCTCAAAATCAATAGGAGTCTTTCTTAGGCCATGTATAAAATTTCATTGCAAAATCTCAAAGGCTTCTTGAGATATTGCATGGAAATGAAAGTGTTACAGACAGGCCAAACTACAGACAGAGGGACAGACGAACAGACAGACTGAAATTAGTATCACCCACTTTCAGTGAAATTCGTGGAAAGAAAAACTTGCAATCCAAGAGCATTTTCAGGGAAGTCAATATGGGAATTTAAAGCTTTGAGCGGCTGAGCTACAGTAAAACACTTACTTACATGTACAGGGCAGTTGTTAACTTTTGAAATATTAGATTGCAGAAAATTTCAAAGAAAAAACATTATTCAGTGAGCATGGCGTTATAAGCAGCAATTGCTCTGATGGCATATTTTATGATGCATGCTAGTGCATCATGGTAAATATGCCTGCAGAGCTATGTTGCTATTCATAATGCCATGTTCACTGAATAATTGTCATTTATTACATGTAAACTTATATTTGCATTCTGTGATGTTTGTCAGGGATACCAGAGGATATTCTGAGGCTGTGTAATTGTGAATACAGACCTTTGTTCTCAGACATATAATTCCCAGTATGCCAGGATAGAAGACAGAATTGTCAATGTCAAGTATAAGATCTGCTCCGTGCTGACCCAGAATATGTTCAGGCAAACTCTGAATGCTGAAATCTTCTTTAGAAATGGAGTCAGGTTCCCCACAGGAGATGCTGACCTGTAAAATATTGTTTATATAACTTATAAGTCATTACCTTTACAATATATTGTTTTTGTTACAAAGTGTTAATAATCCTATGCTGAAAAAAGTACATTTACAGTAATCCAACACTGCTAGAGTATGCCTATTAGATTTTTAGACACATAGCTGACAATTTAGATAAGATAGTAAGAATTCTGATAGAAAATTATTGGATCAACTTGTTAAATGAAAGCTCTCAGACTGATGGATATCTTTGCCCATTTTCTCCCCCATATTTAACAACAATGGGAAAAACAGGTATCTGGATAATTATGTTAAAATGACAGGGTATTATAATTTGATTTATTGGTTAGAAATTGGCCTTTAATCAGGACATTGTATACCTCATTGGACATCCTTAACAAGGTAATTAATTGCGGCCCAGGATATTCCTCAAAGCGAAGGTCCGGGGCGCTAACCACCTCTTGCTTTCCAATTTTCATATGTGTGGTCTTTGATTTTCCAAGTCTGAAAATTGTTACAAATAAAAACTGACTGTGAAAATAGTTTTAAACAAAACAATAGAAAATCTGTCTAGGCTAAGCCATCATCATGTAATGAACAGAGAGTGTAAACAAGAAACTTGTACTTAAACAATCACTGATGAAAGCCATTGGAACGACTTTACCGATCCCAAGAAAAACACACTAAATTGTTGTGTCGCCGAAGGTGACTTCAGTGTATATGATATCGCGTGAGCGATCAAAGGAAAATTAAAAGTACGGAATTTTTGGCCTTTTTAACCCAAAAATCAAATTTTACAGTTAAAAGATTGGTTTAAAGGTAAGCTATGTTTTTAAACAAAGTTTTTAACCTTGTTCTCTGTTTTGAACACATTTTATTGTATAAACAAAAGGATTGGAAACAAGTTCTTTCAACTTACGAGTTCCTCTCCTTAAATATAACTATATGTCATGCAATTAAAATACATGTAGTACATTGAGATATAAACCACATGAACATAAAGGGCTATTAATAATATTTCTTTTGTGTAAATCATAATTAAGTATACAGTTGTGTCTAAGTTTAGTATGGATTATATTTGTATAATGTTTGCCAAATGAAAAATAGATTGGGGGATTTTTTACTTCTGTAGTTAAGTTTTTTGTAAACGTATTGAGTAAGATAGCTTCCCTTGTTTCTGTCTTCAATAAATTCCACTGTTTCACAGCGTCAGGAATAAAAGATCTTTTATATAATTCTAATCTGCATCTTGGGGCAGCGTATTGTTCCTTATTATGGGTATTATATTTTGAAATGTTTTCGCGCTTGTTTGGAACAATGTCATTCAAATATTCAGGTACACTACCATTATGAATTTTGTACATCGTGGTCATTTTTGCATTATAGCGCCTAACTTTCAATGTTACCCAGCCAGTTTAAGAGTAAAGTATTTCTCTTGACACAAAAATTAGAAGTCCTGTAAAAAAATCTAGCTGCAGATAATTGAACTCTTTCAAGCTTTCGGCATCATTATTAGAGCAGCCATCCTTAACAATTGAAGCGTATTCGAGCGAGGGTCTGATAAATGTGACATACAATTTTGAAAGATGTGTCCTACCGATTTTAAATTTAAAGTTTTTTCAAAAGCCCAAGTTTCTTATAAGCATTGTTTACAATGCTATCAATGTATTCTGTCCAACTAAGGTTTTGTGATAACAATAGACCTTGTTCTCTGAAGAAATTAATAAATATTGTTTTATATTTATTGAAAAAAATCGACAAAAAATAATTGTCAATCATTGTTAACATTTTCCCTGTAAACAAACTTAAAAAATGGTGTTGAAGCTGAATTATGACCTTGCAAAAACTACAGCAGCATCTGAATTTCTTAATTTTTCTAAAAGAAGGAGTCACTAACCCTTATCTTTGGATGATTTGCAAGGACTAAGACGTTTATATATCTCCCGGGCAGATGGTAGACTTATCCTAATCAGTAGAATAATGTGCGAGGACTAACCCTTATCCATGTGGATATCAGAGTGGGTGCAAGACTAACCCTAATCAGTCGAATAGTGTTGAAGACTAACCCCTATCAGTTGAGTGACGTAAATGTTACATCATAGTCCAATGAGCATGAGGATCTTGCGGATCTGGGGACCGGTAAAGTAAAGACTACCCCAGCCATTTTCCGAACTTTAACTTACTGATGAACACATCTTACGCAGGAAATCCATGACAAGCTGTGTGTATGTGATATCTGGGACAGGACCATCCCCTCGTGCCACCATGAATCTACCCAGACTGGACAAGTAATCCTGAACTTTTAAATGCAACACATTCAACAATCTGCAAAATAAATTTTTAAAGTCGTATGAAACAATACCATACATGGTGCTTGACATACACTTGTAATACATATATACAAATATGTTATGTCAATTTTTTTTTCAAAAAAGAAAAATGTTGCCGTGTTGCTAGTTGTCCGTGACTTTAATCAATGTAAATTTAAGGTCTGTAATTGAAACAGACACAATGAGCTTAAAACAGTTTAAACTTACCGTTTCTCTTCATCGAAATTAGTTTGTTTTTCACAACATTGACAAATCCTCCCACAATTTTACGACTTTCATTTATGTATTGTAAATATTCCACCACATTTTGTCGCGGCAGGTGTCTCTTCAAATTATCATGTGGAATACATAATTTGAAATGATCTGTCAAAAAGTTTTCCAGTGTTGACAAACATGCTGGCACCCGTGTTATTCCTGATGAATTTTGAGTGCAACTTGATTTTTTGGCAAGCTCCTCAAGCCGACGAAGAGAAATGGCGTATTCGCTGTAGTGGATTCCTATTTTATTCAAATCTACCTGGGTCCACTTCGAAACATCTCTATACACTTCATTAACATCATTACTTTCCTTTATAATTCTGTGCAGACGTATCTGCAAAAGTCAAACTACAACTCTCTTCAGATGCTGCCATCATTTTCCGCCAAATTTCGCAGTTATTTAGACGCTTTTAAAATCTCTACTTAGTAAACTTATACTTATACTCAAACATCTTTCTGATCTAAATTATTTTCGAGAGCCCTCAGTTAGTTCTCATTAAAAGTTAGTCTCGTTCACAGGAGTTCGCGTACCCATCAATTATACCGAAATTTTCATTAAATAAAAAAATACGTAATACGTATAATAATAACACAAGGAGTGCAACGCATTTTATGTCACCTAGGAACCCCTCACTTAATATCAAGTCTGTCGCACAATTAATCTTCAATCGAAAATTATAAAACACAAGCCAATCTTTTTGTGAAGGGTTCATTCTTTATGGCTCTTAATGCATATAATTTCAAACGCATGTTTTACAGCAGCAGCAGAGACATTTCTCCACAACTTCGCTCAAATATGTTTTGTCCGCGAAGCCGATGACGTGACGTCACGGGCGCGTTTTTACCCAAAAAGGAACAAATCTGCCCGAAATGCTAATCTAGATGATTGAGGTCATTTGCGAAATGAAACCAGAGACAAGTTAGTAGACATTCAAGAAAATTTAAAACGGGGAGGTACAAGTACTTGTCTCGTATCTAAATGTAATATCGTTGTCTCTAGTTAATTGTGTATGATTGTTTTTTTGTTCCTTTTGGGTAAATAGACCGCCCATGATGTCACGTCATGGCGTCGCGGACAACGGTTGCAATCCTTGTGTTATTATTATAGGTATTACGTATCTTTTTTATTTACCGAAAATTTTGGCAAAATTGATAAGTACGCGAACTCCTGTGTCTATTAAATACCCTCGGCTGTCTCCGTAAATCTTTAACCACCCAGAGGGTCTGGTAAAGATACGTATTATCGTTTGTGACGCCAAAACGAGGCTTACCGAAATTCTGGTAAAGTTTTTGATTGGCTGAAAAGAACACACCTACAAGATTTAAACAAATACATGATAAATCAACAGAAAAATAACTTAAAGATGTGAAAGTTATATGTCTAAAAGTTAAAACCGTTAGAGAGGAATTGTTTACGATAATGCCCTTCAGTTATAGGTAAGCGTGTTTTATTATGTCTTGCAAATATTCTGTACGAAAGCAAAAGTGAAAGTAGTGTAGCCCTACCTGCGTAATAAACATTCCTTCGATTGATATTGTAATTTCTCGTTTGGTATCCCTAATTAAAGACCAATTTATTAATATAAAGTCACAATCAAGCAGAAGAAACGTCTTGAACGTTTGATTACAAAAATGATTTTTAAAATGAAAACAAGATAGCGCCCTCTGACGGTTACAAACGCTTACGTGATTCTTTACCAGACTCTCTGCTGGTCGGAGTTCACGGAGACAGCCGAGCGTCTGGTTGAACGAGACTAATTAAAAGTATGATCTGTCCGAGAACTTCCGATGGGTTATTCCTGTTTTTCGACGAAGCTGAAGGTTATGATTTAGGAAGACCTGAATTTAAAAGGCTTAGGTAAGGAAATGGTGGTATGAAAAGCAGAACATTTTTATAAGAAAACCAGAATTCAAAAGAAATGTCTACATCATTAACGAAAATTGTTTGTTTGTTTTGTTTTTGCAGACATTTGCCATTGCCACGAATAAACATGAATATATGCAAATAAACAATAAATGCAACAGAAAATGGTAAAATCACCTTTAAAGAACGCAAATTGAGTCGCTAAAAAGTTTTAAAACATGGATTTCAATCGGTATCATTACAGTTTAACAGACAATTCATTTTGAAAAAGCCAAGAAAAAATATGGTCACCGTTTGTATAAGACAGTCGGTAAATCTAGTGCCCAGTGAGCCGATTCCCAACTGTCCCATAATTTGAATTTTTATGAATATCACGTTGCAAATTGTACAGGCTGGCTTGTTACACAACCTACATGTCAAGGTTAATGTTTTCTTGTTCTTTGATTTGTATTTCAACAGGTTACCGTTAATAATTGGGATCAATTGCACAAATGTTAAAATTTTTATTTTTGTTATGAATATCATTAATCCACATCAAAATACTTACAAAAGGATTAAAGGAATAACTTTTGGTTAACAAGTTTTTCTGTATGCACATTGTTTACGTGATTGATCCCTCGGAAGTTCATTAACTTCTCGTGATTAAATCTTACAGTATAAACTGACTTTTTCTGTAGGGTTGCAGAAAAACTTGAGTGCCAAAATATATAAAATATTAAATAGCCAATGTAAAAATTTCATTTTATGCTTTTTCAAATAAGTTGTATCAAAATTACCAAGAATGAAGATGTGAATGGCACAGGTACCTGCAGATACAGTCTAATTAAAATTAGATGTTAGATCTGCTCGCAAACTCACTATACATAGTGACATCTAACAACATCCCAGACAGGGTCATGTCAGAGGTCAAATTCGGACTTATCCGCTTCAACAAATATATGATGATTTTGCAGGCAACAATTTGATTGGTTGATAGAATTTGACCTCTGATGTAACCCGGCCTCTATGGGATGTTATTAGATGTTAGTGTAGCTAGTATGCGAGCG